AGTAGTGTAGCAGCTCTGATCTGAAGCTGCTATTAATGAAATGATGAAGACACATACAGACATTGAGGTGATAGAAGTATAATATTCCTCCGTAAATTCTATGAAGCCTCACTTATGGCTATCTGAGCAACTACGGCTATATTGGTATTTTCATCAAGACACTTACCTTGTGCATTAAATACCTCCTATGGTACATTCTACAAGACATGCTGGAGCTTACAGTAGGTAAAAAGTGAGCAAACATGGCAGATACCAGTCTGGGCACCACTGAATTTTCCATCTATAGGAAATAGCATTGTCTAAAAAAATTGTCATGTAGTCTCTAAATACAAGACCATGTTGTCTTGTGAATCCTTCAATTCCTGTTCAGCTCAGCTCATCAAAGCTAATCAAGGCTAGACCTGGTTAGTATTTGAATGCAAGACCACAGGAAATATCAGGATTATAGGCGAATCTGGAACAAATAACCTGCAAAAAGAGAACTTGGGCATCCTTGGGGGGGGGGAGAAGGGTTTTTTAAAAAATCAGGATGACAAGAATGATTGTGCAATCCAGCCTTATTTTCTTTTAATATGCCATACATATTGTATATCCATTTGGTTACACTGTCACACCTATCCAATGAGGATTCTGAGACTTCTCAACCTCTCCATATCCCACATCGCTCACTTCTCAGTTCCCCACTCTCTGGAATATAAACTGGGAGGAGATGCTCAGTTTTTCGTTACTTGGATTGGCAATTACTTTGCTCAATCATCAGATTCTGCAATTATCATCATGTAGGAAACAGAGGTAGAAGAGATACATTCAAAATACTGCTCTGTAGTCTGCCACTAGCTCTTCCCGGGTTTTGTTTTGATAAATGCTTTTTTAGGAATTCCTAGGCAAAGAGTATGCAATTCAGCCGCTGAAATCCTATGTAGTATTATTTTTGCTTCAAGTGCTCCACCCGTGCAAATGCTTTATTTTCAATCTGAGTTATTAAGCCAATCATATAAGCATCTGACTGAAGCTAGACAAAGTTTTCCTAAGATCAAAGACCAAGACCATTTTCACCCCTTCTGTAGATACCGGAAGCATGCGTTACAATATTTCTTGGAACAGGAGAAGATAGGCTTGCTTTATCAAAATTGGCTTGTGGAGTGAAACTGCAAGTTTTCGCTGTTTTGTCAACTGATACAATTTGTTATCCCTGAACACACTCACACTGGAAGCACTGATGAATTATTTTTGTTGCAATCAAAGTGATGAGCCCCCCAAAAGATACAAATGAGCCGTCTGCTTCAAGCAACAAAATTCACAGAAGACATCTGGAAAAGATAACTGTCCTTTATATCACTGGTTCCTACAGCAGAGTTCAATAATTTAAATAACTTACTTTGTTTAGACTCTTATTCAGGAGGCTAAAGGATTCGGAAGAATGAAAGTAGGCACTGAAAGCTATGATGTTAACATATCTCAATAGGTCCATCAAGCTGACAAATTTTGGGTCCCCAATATCCTTCTTTGACTACTGTATTAATAAGAATAAAGCTTAGAATAAGTATTTTTTCCAGGAAAAAAACAATTAGGTATATTTGGATATATCTGATATCTTCACATGAGATTGAAAGAATACTTTATTCATACAATTCAATTTTTTTAATGAAATAAGTTTATTATTTTATGACAAGAACTAAAGAGTAGATGGCTCATGATAAATCCAAATGAAGATCATTTGGCTGACAGCAGATGCTGATTGTAGAAAAAAAATGAGACACTGGAATGAAAAATAGATAATGAAGAATGCTAAGGCAAAAAAGGATTGTGATTTCAGTTGATTTAATCATCTTAATGATCACATCTAATGGAAGATTCCTTGGGAGTCTGTCTTGGATCAGGCTATATTCAGGGTGAGGTAAATATCTGATGCGTTTATGATTTAAGTAGCTCGAAATGAGTGGTTACTACCATTTTAGTATGAATAGGCAATCAAGATAGACCAAAGGGGCTGGATGACACACAGAACAACAAAAGGCATTTGGGGAAGCAATATTTATAAATATGAAATGATATGGAAATAAATTAGGGATTGTGATAAATATTTTGTACTATTTTGCATATTCTTCCATTTTAATATATTCTGTTTTTTCTACTTTCAAGATTTATGCATGTTTTTATATTCAGATATATATATATTGTACGTTGAGAGTGGGATGGGACACATATCTAAATAAAGTATCTTCTTAGTAGTAGTAATGTTTGAAGGTGCCCCATGTTAGCTTGGGAAGATAACATCATTTGTTTCTTAAGTATAATTTTTATTGAACAGGACAGATAGACTTTTAGATGTAACCAGATGACCCCAAATTTCATGGGTACAGAGTGACTTTGTGCGGAGGGGGAAACAGAAGGATCCATTTACTTCAGATAACAGTGCTCCAAATCACCTTGACTTTCCAGTCTTAACACTTGGAGAGTTTTAAGTGTAGCCTCCAGCATAGTACAAGGAGTTTTGTTTGGAAGACCTGAACCAATGAGCATATAGTGGTGTGTAAGCTTATTGAAGATCTATTTCTCAGACAAAATACTTGCAGGAATCTTTAATAGTTTTTTAATGCTAAATCTTCTGGGCAATGGTTTAATCTATTAATTAAATATTAGGTTTCTAATTGGACTTTCAGTTCTGCCTGAGTAAAACCCTCTACTCTTCTTTGTTATCCTAAATAACCACTTTCAATTAGGTACCGGTAGCTCTTAGATGAGGGAAAGGGTAGTGATGAAAACACTATGTTTTGTATGAGATCATTTTGCATCTTTTTTTGTGTGGCTGCTCATGAAGGACTACTGAAATAGCTATGCGAAGATGTGAGAATCTATATCTGATCATGAACAGTTCTGGTCATTTTCAAGTATGAAAATTCTAGGTGGCAGGATGGATATTTTGCAAATTGCCATTTTGTCTTTCTGCCAGTATCATGCACATAGGAAGCCACTAGGTGAGAAGATAAACAGTATGTTCAATTAATTGATGACATAGAGCTCTGCCTCTCATTTTGAAACTAGACTGGTATTTTCGGTATTTTCTAGCACCTAGACATTGGATTGAAATTGGTTGATATAGGTTAGCCATCTGACATTTCAACCAGACAAGATTGAAATAATGATGACTGGCTAGTCCTATGATTGAAGTGCAGAGATTGCCTGTCACTGATAAGTTTAGATCTTTACTGATGCTCTTAACTCTGCTTCCTTGGGTCCTTCTAGATCTATATACTACTCTCATATCTGTTACTTTTACTGGGTGAAATGGTACTTCATAGGGCAAAACCTTTTCAACCACCCCACCCCACTAACGTACAGAATTCCAGAACCCACTATTCCTTGGAGTGAAATTTTGGGACGTTTGTGCCATTTCAAAACATGCATCAAAGGATAAAACTTTAACAACCAAGGTGCCTCAAATGAACTAACATACAGAAGGCTGGGACCCATTACTCCTGTGGGAGAGAAATTTTGGAAAGTTCTTGCTATTTCATTGACACTATGGTGCTGTTGTTTAGCACTGCCACCATGCTGCCAATCATGTGGCCCTCATTTATAATGTTCTCTTCCTACAAGTCAGCGGGGAAATCTGGGAAACTTGATAGGGATTGATAGGGATCACATGACCACAGCTGATAGGAGAAACATGGTGGTGGGTCTAGACTTGTATTCTCTGATTAGATAAGGAAATATATTTGAAAGGATGACCCAACAACTCATTGGGTGGTCTAGTTAATCCTTAAATGTGGATATTCAGCCCAATGCTGTGGCTATGATTGCTTTTTGCTACAGACCATCTTGGCTCCTCATGTTTAGTAGGGCTGGATTTTTTGGTGCCCAGAAGACAACACAATGATGTAAAGTAAGAGGGACAATGTCACATATCCACAAGGAAAGCTCACTTGTTGTTGACTTGCAAGCTATTCTATATCTGAATGTGCTTGCTACTTCAAAATGGCAGAAACCTATGTTGCTGCTTTTTAGTAATTATGATTGAACTGGAATCTGGGCTTATTGTAAAAAAAAGATGTTCAGAGGCGACATGTGGCCCTTAGGCCTCAGTGTCCATTCTTAATATACAGGTTTTGTATTAGTGTCTATTTATTTTTTAAGTGCTTTAGCTCAAGTTTTCTAATTTAGCTAGAAATGTTTTGAAACAACTAAGTACCGTATTATTTATGCATCTTCTCCACTGATTAAATTAAGGTGATACTTGTTTCCTCACATAATTAAATTAAAGGGAATTTCCCAAGACTATGAAGAGAATCTTTTAATTGAGAAAATTAAAGGAGCAAGGAATATAGCCCAGTCTGAAGTATTACTTCCTCCTAGTTTTTTTTTTTTAAAATAAAAAAGCTCCAAATTGTTTCCTCAGAGAAAGTTGCCTCAGTCCCTCGAATCATTGTTACTCCTTGTTTTCATCCAAATTCCAGTCTACTTTGAGAGTCCAGATACAATAATTTTACACTGGAGAATAAATCTAATTCTGTTCCTAACCCCTTACAGTATTGTCACTGTTATTTTTAATTCCTTTCATAATTATCCTCAATATTTTTTTTTTCACATTACATGTTGAATTTCCCTGAGCTATTTGCCCCAAGGTTTTTTCCCCAGACATCTTCTCTGGCTCAGACCTCATCATGTATATAAACAACGTACAGATTTTCTCCCTCACAATGGACAAGCAGGCCGCCTTTGCATTTTATGCGACTTGCTCTATAAAATCCCCCTATTTCTCAGCCTCGCCCTCACTCCTTGCGGAGCTCAGCAAGTGCATCTCTCACGTCTGCCTCGCCCATCCCGCTCTGCTTGGAAGGCATCTGTCTGCTAGGCTCCGCCTCCTCGACGCTTTATAGATAGGCTCCAGCGGTCCAATCAGTTTGCCCCCTGCCTCTCTCGTGCGCCTCTCGCCGGGGGTTGCTGTGGTGACGGACTAAAGCAGAGGCTTTCCGCCAGTTCGCGAATGGGGAGGAGGGTTGATTTATTCATCGTGCAACACAAGGTGCTGCAGCGGCTAAAGTCGGAGCCGGAGCCGGAGCCGGAGCCGTGCACAACAAAGGTACCCAGCCAAATGCTCCAGGTAATAAAGGTGAGGCTCGCAAGAAAGTAAAGCAACCGAAGCCGTGTTTGAAGGAAATCAAGGCGAGAAAGGGGCGGAGGCTGGTATGTCAGACTAGAAGAGAGGATAGTTTGTGGGTTTGAATTTCTAGCTTCGTGGCGTGGCTTGTGGGTCGTCTCCCCTTACTCGCCGCGACGGTTGTCTACATTGAACGTGGAGCTTCCTTTTCTTCATTGTGTGCATTGCACGCAATCAATAAAGCGCATCCCCGGCAATTACGGGTTCTTTTCCTTTATCCCCCGTCGCCAGCTGGCGTGTCGCATGTTTCGCCTGTGCATGTGGACTGCTAGAAATGGCATAAAGTTGGGTCTGAGTTTCACCTGAAAAAGGGAGAACAAGGAAGCTCATCTGGTAAAGGTATAGCGCTACACGAAGGAGAAAGAATGGGCTAGTGAGAAGAAACTTCTCCCTTGAGCTTGGATTTTGTGGAGTATTTTGCATAATTGACACTTACATGCGGGGCTATGGTTTTTATTAAAAATAGTGTAAAAACTGGTTAAAACCCTTCGCTATGGGGATTAGGCTTTTTGACGTTCTGGCTTTCCGTAGTGGTGTAATAGAGGACTGCTGTGTTCTGGAAAGAGACTCACACAATCATTTAAAATAAAAGACCATTTGATAACCAAAGCTCACACCTTCCAATTGTCATCTCTGAATCTCCCAATGCATTTTCAACTTCAGTTATTTAGCTGGATGCTTCTATTTAACCATGCTAAGATTTTTTATGAATGATCTGAGCAGGAGCAACGTCACTTTGCATAGATCAGACAGGCTCAGTTTAGGAGTCACTTTACTATTCCTTTTAAAAATGTTTCTTTCTCCTGTACAAATGAACACCCTCTCCCTTTGAATAATTTTTGAGTAACTATCACAAAGCACCGCATACATATTTTTTTTTCAAATTCTCATTCCAGTGTAGTGGGTATTTTAAGATGTAAGAGAGAAGGATTTCTGCAAGTTGAAAAAAAAAAATGCTTTGCTAGGAAAGCTGGAAAGAAGGGATTTCCAACCAAACCTGCTTATATTGACCTAAGCCTGCAAGGCTATAGCAGACGCTTTGCTGCAAAAGCAAATGGCTGCATAGAGTGAATTGCAAAAGGTTAGTGGGCAGGCAGTGCCTTCCTTCTTTTGAATGCTTTTCTACTCTTTTCCTGTTAAAATAGCAAATAAAGAGCATAATAATTTCTTGGATCAATATGGCTCTCTCTCCTCCTATTTGCTACTATTTGCTTGGACTGCATCGCTTTCATACTGTACTGTCACATTGCAGAGGCAAGGCAGGGGTTCCAAAATGGATTAACTCCTTTTCTGACTGTGTCTGATGTTCAACAGACTGTTTCTGTAGTCTAGAGACTCACTATGTCTTTTCTACAGCTATTGTCTCCTTCCTAGTCCTACTTTCTGATACCACTCCTAGGCTGATGAATGCATAGATTATATACTGTAGATCAAAACTAAGAGCTGAAATGACTACATATGGACAATTGATAGGCTTGTTCCTTTGAGACAATTTACAAGCTGTGTTTGCTCTTTTCATCTATTATTCACATTAGAATCAACAGTATATCCTTTTTTTAATTTTGCCAAAAAAAACCCATAAAGATTGAAAGAAAATATATAGTGCTTCACAATCAGTCACTATAGCTGTTGTAGCTCCACATTATAATATAGATTGTCTGAATGCTAGGTATGAATAAAGCGGGAGTAGGGGAGCAGTTTGCATTTATGGATGGTATATTCCATGTGGGATAGCTGATTTTGTACTTCAATGGCTGGAGTTTATATAGGCAAGAAAACAAGCTGAATGAATTTATCTTTGATTCAGGATGTCTTACTGTCCCATTCCCATTCCTGATATCTGCCATAAGTCTTTTTGTGACTGTTGCAGAATGTAGATCTAATAAATTACATTTCATTAGATTCATACCCCACCCTTATTTTTGAACATTTTCTTTTCTACATGTGGATTTAATGTCAGGTATGTGTTGGCAAGGTCACCCATAGGAGGGTTAGAATCTAGAAATAGAACTATTTCATTAAATTATTGAAAGATACCAAATATAAATAAAATTCCAAGGTGATTTCATAACGACCAACCAAAATCAGGAGTACAGCTTCTCAATATAATAGCATTGTAGACATTTAATTTTTAATTTAATATTCCTTTGGGGTTTGTTTTTTTTTTTTTTTTTTGGAATGATAGAAGAAATGGGAGGGTCCTGTTTCCATAAGGATAAAGTCTGGATGAAAACACCTCTATTCAAGTATCATATCATAATTGGTCTTGTGAGGTTTACTTACTCTTACACTTGCTATCTAAACTGTTGCATATGACATATAGGATGGGCTTAAATGAGATTCCCTTGTATAGTTGGAATAAAAGGGGGTTGATTTGACATACTAAAATAATGTACAAGATTTATAGTGATGATGATATTCTGCATCATTTTTCTCTAGTAATATTTCTAGATGTGAAATTAGAGATGTAATTCATGGCATGATAGGTTTGTGGGAAACTTATTTCAGCATTTTAATTATATTTTTGGCTACCACAGTAAATGTCATTCCTGGGAGAGGACCATAATTCAGCAATAGAGCACATATAGAACAGCCTTTCTCAATCAAGTGTTCTCCAGATGTGCTGGATGTGCCACTACCTCTGGGAAAATTAAATCTAAAAAAATCTCAAAATCTGTTACAAAATAGATTCTTAGTATTTAAATGAGTTAAAAACCAATTTGACAGATGCTGGATACAGCATAAACAACTAGATATTTCAGGCAACCAGCCTTACATCTTCGTAATTTGGGAAGCTGTGGCCCTCAGATGTTGTTGAATTATAATTCTAAGCATCTTCAGTAATAGTGCTGTCAAGGAATAGAGTTCTTGCAAATTCCTCACACTTGATTAAAAATATTGTCCCATCACCAAGTAAATTTAAATGCTTATCAAATGTGCTTCTATAGGTAGAAAATGGGGGTTTATTTTTTAGATTATTTATCCTGCTTTTATTACTTTGTAAGTAACTTAAGAAAGTGAATATACATAATATGCCCTCCTCCTATTTTCCCCACACTAACAACTCTTTGAGGTAGATGGGGTTGAGAGAGACTGATTGGCTAAAGTCACCCAGCCCACTTTCATGTCTAAGATAGAATTAGAACTCATAGTCTTCTGGGTTCTATGCCAGCACAACTATTATACCAAGCTGGCTCTGGGTCATAACAACCGGCTCATAACAATTGGACTATGTTAATTTGAGCAGCAAAAAGTCTTGGACAACCCTGGTTAACGGAATCAGGTTATATAAATGCTTTGTATGGAATTTGGCTAGATGGAATACATGCTACTTTATTAACAGTACTAACCTTATGGCTTAATACAAGGAAGCTTCTATTTTTACTGACACATAAGAGATAATAGTCAAGAAGGCATCCTTGGTGGTTACTGATTTTCTCCATCTCTAACTTAAAAACCTTCACAAAGAACATTTGGGGCACACTCACTGAAGTTGCAAATATATCCCATAGGAACACAATGTTCTTCCATATTGTTGTCACAAGAACAACGTGGATTGTCCATGAAGTTACTAGGAACTTCAGGGAATCTCTTCCTTTACCTAAATATGTGTATTCTGCAGAATGGAAAGGCAGCTTTGCAGGTGTTCATGCTGCAAATCTAAGGCCATCCATGCTTCTGGTATCTGTGTGTTTGCTGCATTATTGCGACATCCCTCCCTCTCTAGACAGTAGATGAGGAGAATATTAGCATGGGAAATTTCAAGTTCTTATCTGATTTTTATGTACATAAATTGTAACACATTCTTCAGGCAAACTGCTGATCTGAGATTCTCTTAGGGATGCATCCATACACATTGTATGCAATACTGTACATCCTATCTTGTGTTGTTTAAGAAGCTGAAGCTTCTCTTTAAATATAAGCTGATGTAAACACACATTTGTATGCTGTCTAAATTGTTCTCTTCTGACACTTTATAAGGCGGAGACGGTTTCTAAAGATGCAATTCAGGCTTATTTAAAAGAAGCAAACCTTCCAAAGGTTCCTGAGAATATGCATCAGAGGTTAAACAAGAATGTTTAATGATGGAGATTAAAAATGGGAATTTACTATCTGACCAGATTATAATTACTAAAATTTTAGAGTGTGCAGAAATGGATAGACTAACATTAGAGATGAAAGAAAAAGATGATTCAATTTATTTTATAACTTGGGAAAAAATTTATCAATGGTTAGAGACACGTTAGAACTTGAAGGATTCAATATTTTAGAACAGATGACTGATTTTTAACCGAGTTCTAACTAACATGTTGATGATATGATTATTTTTCGTGATTTACTGATTTTCATTTGTTACTCTTGATTGTTAGGATTTTTTGAGATTTTATTAGTAGTGTTTACTTAATAGATCAAAGTATTTGTTTACTAATTGTTTTTAATATGTTATAGTCTAAGCTTACGGTAAAAATGGTTGAATATGATATTTACTCATTATTATGATCCGGACGGTAGCTTGTTTGTTGAAATATGTGATTGCACCTATCCTTGTTTTACCCTAAATCCTTTATTCCCTTCCCCTTTCCCCCCACCCTCTCCCTTTACCATACCTGTATTGTTCCTATTTTTCCTCATCTATATAAACTTAATAACATTTTGTTAAATTGTTCTCTTCTAATTATATACCGTCTGGTGTAAGGCTTTTAAGAGTCAGTAGTTTTACTACAGTGGTTTCTGGAAAGGCCATCTCACAAATGGAAATAAGAAGAATAGTATGTGTTCTTTCTAACAGTAAGAATAATTTGATGTGAAAGCAGTTACTCAAGAAATATGGTGAGCTTCCTATTGCTCCATGTGTTACAGAGGAGCTAGACAACCAGCTGTCTGGGGGTGTTTTAATTTGGATTCCTGCAAAGAACAGCAACTTGGACTCACTGGTCTTTATACAGCCTTTT